GTAATTATTTTGTAAAATAATTAATTAAAATTAAATCTAATTTATTAAAATGTTTATGTAATTAATGTAATTTTAAATAATGTAATTTAAATATTTTGAATGAAAATAGTTAATTTTAATTTATAATAATAATAATAAATGTATATATTTGAGGATATATATTTATTTTTTTCTTGTTTTTTAAATCCATTTTAACCACATATTAAACCCTTTATTTGCCAGCCTATCTGTGTCGTTGGCCTTATGACGAGGAGTGCCTGTGGGTTATCCTAATCGTTCTGTCTTGGTCACTCTTGGTTGGGCCTGGTTGACTTTCCAGTCAGCTCCTACAATGTCACTTGGCCACCTCTAGATCTGTGTTTGCCGGTCTAGACGTAATCGATGCACTCCTTAAAGTGCCACATTGCAGCGATCCCAGAGCGTTAACGAGATCTGATTCCTAAGTTGAGAGCTGTTCTTCCTGTAACGCTTCCGAATAAAGAGGTCCTGGTCGAAAAGAGTTGAAAGATACGAAATTAGGTGGTCGTTGGAATCCTGATCGCAGTAAAGTGGTCCTTGGTAACATCAAGCATAGAGAATGTCTGGATCCATCAATAGTCTCCTAATAGGGAGGGCAGTGCGATTAATGGCTTCCATCGACTGGGTAGTGTTCGTCAAGTGGGTGGCGAAGAGCCAGTCGGGCATATATCATGACGGTATCTCCGGTCGCTTAATGCAGTTTGCTGCTTGGCTAGCCTAGGGAAATGTTAATAAAGGTAAAGTAAACTATATTTTTAATGACATATGGGGCACAAAATAATTGGTGTTATGTAAATGTAATTCTGTATGCATATAAGACTCGTAATGTAAATGGAGACTGAAATAGTACAAACATATATGGGTAATATTTCACACTCAGTCCAGTATATATACAAATGTACTTTTTAATTTCTTTCTCTCTCTCTCTCTCTCTTTCTCTCTCTCTTTCTTATTAAATCTATATAATCTTTGTAGACTAATATTGTCCTTAATGTTAAGACACTTTATTAGCATTTTGCTTAAAGCAATATGCTTTTTTCATTTATTTCGTGCCCTGATATAGATAATTCAATTTTGATAGAATACAAGTATGGCAATTGCCATGTTTGTAATTTATCTAACATCTTCTCTTTCAGTAATCATAAGTTTCTTTTGTTTGCTTTTAACTATTTTTGTATAGATAAGTATTAATTTCACTTCTTTGCATAACATAACTGGTCTTGTGTTAGGATCTCAAAGACTTCATGAGACAAGCTGGGGAAGTAACCTTTGCAGATGCACACAGACCTAAGTTAAATGAAGGGTAAGCCTCTAAAATCACCTCTTGAAAGCTGTAGAGTAATATTTGTATGTACAATACTTGGGGAGGGAAGCTGGCTACTTGTAGTACTCAGCAGCTGTTCATGGTTTAATTTAGCTACCCTTTGAAAATGCATTCTCTGGTATTTGGGGAGGGGAATTCTTCAGTTTGTGCTTGAGTTATGACAAGGGATGACTACATTGAGCAGTGTGAGGTTTTTTGAGTTGGTTTTTTTTCACCAGAGTATGTTTTGCTCTATCATGAAAAATACAACTTGTAGTAGTGAGCTCTGTGTTTTGTTTTTTGTTGTATTTTTTTTTGCAGGGTGGTTGAATTTGCCTCTTACAGTGATTTAAAGAATGCTATTGAAAAGCTTTCTGGTAAAGAAATTAATGGAAGGAAAATCAAACTAATTGAAGGCAGCAAAAGGCACAGGTATGGATATCTATTAAATAATGCTTAAATATCCACTAAGAAAGCTTTGTGACAGGCAACCGAACTGGAGACCGGTGAATTGCCTGGTTATTGTCATGATCCGTGACATTTCATTGCTAACACCTATGCTCTTTGCTTCATCAGTAGGTCCAGGAGCAGGTCACGGTCTCGTAGCAGAAGCTCATCCAGGTCTCGTAGCCGTTCCCGTTCCCGCAGCCGCAAGTCTTACAGCAGGTCAAGGAGTAGGAGCCGTAGCAAGTCTCGATCAGTTAGTAGATCTCCAGTGCCAGAGAAGAGCCAGAAACGTGGTTCTTCCAGTAGATCTAAATCCCCGTCATCTGTGGATCGGCAGAGGTCTAGATCGAGGTCCAGATCTGTTGACAGTGGCAACTGAACTCTAAGTAACTTGCCCTGGGGGCCCTTTTTTAAAACCATACTTGCTAAAACTTGTGGTAAGTATGTGACTTTCTGTGGGGAAGGGTTTGGATGGGGAGGGGGGAGGGATGGGGGAACTTTGTAGATGTGGACCATGGTGGGAAGGGTTATTGACTAATTGTATTAAATGTTTTTTGATAACCCTTTTCTTGCTCACATTTTTTTGTGAATGTCTGAAGTGTATAGTTTGTGTATATTGGCAGAGCTCTTTATAACTAAAGCAGACAAATGTTTTTGTACTCCAAAAAAAAAGTCATCTGAACACTTAATTCCCAGTATATTCAACTGTGAATAGCAACTCAGAACATTAGTTTAATATCTCAAATTAAACTAATAGCTTTAGGCATCTAAGAGCTCTACATATGCTGTACATAAAGCTTTATTTCAGAGGGTATTTTTTGTGCTTTTGAACCATTGTTTCAGTTATAGGTCAGCAGATTAAGTGCTGGTCAGTACTGGTAATAAAACTTTATTTTAAAAGCTTTTCATTTGATATGACTTGCACTACACTAAGAAAATGCCCATTTCACTGCCCTGTGGTAATAATATTCTATAAAGCACCCTAATTCTTGATACTTAAGAATTAAATAGCTCAAATAAAGTATAAAGAAACACGTCTCTGCTTCTAGTGTGTTCTTAGTGTTAATAAAATGTTTGTGACCGTGCCTCATGTTGGACAGTGTTGAAATGTTTCTTTGAGATGAGTCTACAGCAAAGCGATCACTGAGTGTTTTGGGCATGGGGGAGAACTACCTTTTAAATACATCATGCTATGTCCTTGGATGTCTTTATGTTCTGCAGTAAGAACCTTGATAGTAAGGAGAATCATGCTGGCATAGTTCATAGCCAAAAGTGGAATGGACAAGTCATTTAGGTTTTAATCGCTTCAAATAAGTGTGGAATGTTAAGGGTGGATGTAGTCAGCATACTTCATTAGTGTGTTTGTGCATACAGGTATGAGAAAACATTGATGTGTGGATAAAGCAATTTTGTAGGCATTAGTCCTCATTCTGGAGGAAGAGGAGGGATTTTTAAGTTGATGGGTGGGAGTATTGCAGCAGTGGTACCCTGAAGTTCTGCTTTTTAGTGTTTGTGCCTTACCAGGGGCAGCAACCCTCTCCAATCCCTGTGTTTCTCAAGCCCTCACCGAAGTTACAAGAGAGAGCTTTAGAATTTAGTTTTAAAAATAACATGTTTCGTTATAAAGTGCTTTACAAAGCTAGTCCAGTAATCCACGGAAACCTTTAAAAAGATCTTTGGAGCCTAGGCTGGGCTTTGGATTAGGTCCTGGGAAATGCAAGGTGGTTCTGCTCAGAGCGAGGCCTGGCCTTGGGGGAGGTTAGTTGCTTGGTGCCTGCAGGCCCCACTGCCTTCTCTCCCTACTGTTGTGGAGTTCTCGTGTTCCAAGGGAAGGGATGAGAAGGAGCTTTTGTGCCTTGTGAATTTGTTCATTGAGGTGGCGCTGTACCAAACTGCGATGCGCTCCCGGGAGCTGGCATCGAGAGGTGGTTGGGCTGATATACAGTTAATTGGATTTATTACTAGTCAGCTTTGGGGAGTGGGAGGCTTCATTCTCGGAGGTTAGTAGTTCAGATGCTGGATTGCTTAAGAGGCGTGGGAGAAGAGGGCTTTAACCTCTAGGGGTAAAGATAGCACTGACACTCGTCCAGGTGTCAGGTTAGCTGCCTTACCTCAAGTCAGTTGATCCTTCCTGCTTACTTGAACGATTATGGGCATCTGTGTTCAGGGGGGACTTGGCTCCAACTGGAACCCAGGTGGCTGAAGGCACCTGATGATCGGAAGGGGATGGGAAGGGGGACACTTCCCTCCATCAGGCTCAATACAAAGTACTACCTGCTCTATAAATAGTTGTTCCGAATTCTGTTTCTAAACCACACCACTTGCCTTGCAAGAAGCATGAATAGATGCCTGCATTTTGTTTGGGGAGCTGCTGTTGTGATGACGAACTTCCAGTTTAAAACAAACTCCCAGGCTTTGCATTATGGAGGGTTACATTGACTTCTGACCAGAAATGATTTTGTGTTTTTTCAGCGTAGGTTCTTGGTACGAGCCTCTTTATTCTCAGTTAAGGTGAATACTTCAGGTTACAATGCACACTAGGACATTGGAGGTGTTTGTTAATGCCAGTGTTCTCTTATACTCGTATTTGTAGTGTGACGATGGCTAGATGGCGTCCTGAACCGGTGGTGTGTTTAGTTCACCGACACCTACAAAACGAGGCATGTTCGAGGCTTGTTATTTTCAGAGGTACAGCTTGCCGGGCCCAAACTCGACCTACTAAGGCAGTTTGCATAGCCCTGTTCAGTTTTTGTGGCCTTCGCTGTGTAGAGAGTAGCGGTACACTGCACAGTGCTTGGGTTTTGGAAAACGGGAGTGACCAGCAGTCCACGGGCTGCTCAGCTGCGCACAGTCTTGGTGGCTCCTGCACTGAGAAATGTCACACCTCATTTTGGGTCTTTGTTAGGGAAATTACATTAATCTTCAGCGATGTCTTCAGGAGCTGCTTCCAGCAGGTGCCAGTGGGACAATTACAGGTAAGTGAAATTAAAAAAGGGAACTGATGCAGGCAGTGGTTTTCATAGGGGCAAAACTGGGGGCAGTCGCTTGGCACCATGGCCCTAAGATGTCCCAGAGGATTGTCATGTTGACTTGGAAGTCACTGGAAGTGTCCCTCATGGGCAGGCAGGGGGAGGTTTAGTCTGGAGCAGGGTCTTCGGGAAATAACAGTGGGTGCAGATAACTCTGTGGCGATCCTTGTGTCTGGCATAAAATGAGCATAGAGGTAGAAGTCTTATATGGAACTGCTGGAGACCTGTAAGCCGGCTGCAGAAGGTGGTGGCATTTGAGGGGGTTGTGATAGCGGTGGCTGCAGAGTCTGTCTGTATTGTTTTCCTGGTTTCCCACTGTTTCTGCAGGGTGTTGACAGTGGTTTCATTTCTTGAGCACTAACTGTGTCCACACCTGCACAGATAATTTTTGCTGCATCTGAAGAAAAAGAAAAATGTAGTGAGAATAGGCAGTTCTGAAACTAGGTTATGGAAGAATTGTGACACAGCTACAGTTGATGTTGTTGAGTGATTTAAAGCAAAAGGAAGGAACTTGGAAGTCCTGCCAAAATACTTAAGCAGTTTTGTTTCAAGACTCGGAGCCTGGAAAGCCACCTTTTTTTATAGTAGTTTTGCAAGTACCTCTATGGCTGTTTCTGATATTGACTGCTTTGCACTAAAGGCACACCTCAAGATCTAAATTCAGGGTTTTTTTTCCCCCAGTAACAGTCATCCTTCAGCTATAGCTATAAGATGTGGTAAAGTGCTCCTGTAGCAGCCCTGTAGCAGTTGCTCAGCTGCTTCCCTGTCCCAAGGGACTGGAGAAGGCTGGTCTGGAAGCATCAGAGGGATGGAGGGTCTCATTGAGCTGTGCATTCTCCAAGCATCTTTGCAGACAGTCAGCTGGGCTTTGGCATTATGGACCTGTTGGAGAAGAGTCTACCTCACATCTATACCAATACTGTATATATGCTTTAATTAAGCTTGAATCTGTTTATGTACTTCTCTAGCAAAAGAGTCGCGTTCCCTTCATTCAGCTGCAGTACTTGACAGTTTTGTCCTTTTCCTCCTCCCCCCACTCCAGAAGTGACACCCTTCAGTGGATCTCTCAACAGTTTACAGTAAAGCTGGAATTTGTTGCATTAAAGAATGTCTGATGTTCTTGTGTAGTTTGGGGGTGTGTGTGTGATTGTTCTTTGCATGTGCTCAGTGCAAATTGTAGCTTTTGCAGGATGCCTGTCCTAGTTTAAGCACAGGACTCTGAAAACCTCTGACCGCTGATAATACAGATAGCATATGAAACATTCTGCTGATGGAAGAAGTCATAATTTCTAATGTCTTCATCTACCTATGAATTTTTGACTGTGATTTGTATTAATGCATTGGGTATAGTAACTGAGTTAAAGGGCAATCTGATTCTGCGCCTGGAAAGTAACAATTCCTTGGTAATTACATGTAAGCATATGTGGTTTGGACTGGAAAGGGTAAGAAATACAGGAGCAAAGCTGTACTTGCCACTTGGTTTCTTTATTCTGTCATGGATCCTAAAGACCAGGATGAGCAGAAGTCCCTCTCCAAGCTGGAACAGCAAGTAGAGCAGTGGGAAGAAGTACAGGGGGCCAATGATTTCTGGGGCGAAGGTGACCTTGAGGATAGTTGAGCAAAGCTGTACATTTTGGCAGCCAGTTTCCATGCACACTGTCCGCCTGCATCTGAAGGAGGAAGAGTTAAACAGATTATGGATCTAATCCACTTTTAAGCAATTTTAAAAGAAGCCTGCCCCCCTTGCTGTTGCAGTGCTTCGTGCATTTGCCTGTGCTAAAAGCTGCTTTATCAGGAGCAATACTGGCATCCCTAGCAGGTTTTGCCTCATGCTCCTGTTGCAATGTGCAGAGAAAGAGTACGCTGTAAATGTGGATTTTGTGCTAAATGGTGTTTGTAGGCCTTGTGTCCCGCTCTGGGTGCTGCACCTTCCTGCAGGGAAGGAATCTGCTTCCGAGGTGAAAAGAGGAGTCCAAGGTGCAAAGGTAAAAAATAGTGAGGACTAATGGGCTTCCTACCTGGATTAGGTAGGATGAGAAAGGGAAGGAGTGCGTTTTATATGCAAGTTTTCCATCCTGAATTCCTGGAGTTTCAGCTGAATGCACTGACTGGTTTGGGATAATTATCAGCTGAGGAGCAGTTGTGTCACTTGGGGTTTGGTCTCTGCTGGTATTCCCTAATTCGTTGTTGTTCTTTGGTGCTATGCATTCTCTTCTTCCCCCAACTTTATTACTGAGAGCAGAGGCTGGTAATGTATGCTTAGCAGGTCACTAGTGACCTCAAGTCAACCCCATCTGTCTGCTTGCTCAGTAAACCTGCATAATGGACTTCCACCCCTTCCATGGTGATCAGGTACCTGTGTCAAAACCAGCTCCAGCTGCTCCTCCCCTCTCCATTGAGCTGAGCAGAGGTTGAACTCATTTCTCTCCCCGCTCAAGGTGTGGGAGTATTGACTTGGGACCAGCTTGCAGTGTGTTTGCTCGTACTGCTAGGGCCCATTTTGGGAGACTACAATCAGTGTTTATTTTACAAAAGAACACCCATGTTGAAACCCGTGTTTTAACGATTGCTCCATAGACCAGAGCTGTCGTACTTCTCTGTTTCTCTGAGGGAGGGAAGGGGGGAGTGGAGGAACATACCGGTCATTAAGCTTGAAGACTGCAGAGAGAACATAGCCCAGCAGGAATCCAACAAAAGGCATCAAGGCAGAAGATCCCAGGAGGGATGGTGAGAAGATGATCATGATACCGCTTCCCACATTGGCCACAGACAGAACGATTATTGCAGCAGATGACAGTAGAAGCACAACCATCCCTGCCTAAAATAAAAGTGGTCAAGACATGGACAAGAGAGAAGTTGCCAGCAAAATTTGCCTCAGCTGTTGGAAGCAGCTGTGCCCAGTTCCCTGTCCATCACATATGTAAGTATACAGTGAGAATGCATAAGTGCCTTTCTTGGACATAAATGTTACAAGTAATCAACAAGACCCCATCCTCAGGTGTAACCTAGAAAGACCTGAAATAATCGAGTTCCTTTCTAGTCTATATGCAAAATGACTGATGCTTGCTCCACTAGCCACTTGTTTCTCAGGCATTGCTGTGTGTCTCTCTGTCCAGGTCCCTTTGTGGGTCTAGTCCACCCAAAGCAGGTGGGGAGGAAACCACTTTACTCACAGGCAGAGCCTGCCTACAAGCAGGTGTGGAAGGTGGTGGCTGCATTTTCAGATCGTCTCGTTGGCATCTGGTGATTCTGCAGATGAAGCAGCTGGGGAATTTGGGGAGGCAGAATACACAGCTCTCCTGCCTGTCTCTCCACTTTGGAGTCCAATTTGGATGGAGTTCCCCAGGTGTTTTTTAAAAGCAAGTCTCTACGCCCTTCCTCTTTTGTAGAGAAGGTAAATGGAAAGGTGGTGTTAGCAGAAAAGAACATGACCCAAGTGTCAGCTGGACCAGCATGGGTCACCTTGTCATGCTAGGCTTCTAAAGCTTCTTTTGAAACAGTCCTGTCATCACTGCCCTGTGCTGGGTAAAGGGGCCTTTGAAGAGTGCTGGTCCTCCTGTGTCTGCTCTAGCCTGACTCCTGGATTCCCATGCTTCTTAGAGGTTAGTGATTCCTAATGTCATTTTATCAGGTCTGTTATTGAGTCTTGGCACCCATTTCTTGCTGTGCTTGGTCCCAGTTTCTCTGAGATGAAGCCTTAGTGAAAGAACCTATGAAAAACAGGTTTGCAAAGTTGTTAGCAGCTCTCTGGGTAGTGCTAGTGGAGCTCTTGAGACAGAAAATAGTGTAGTTGGTTGTCCAGATTTCCGTTTTGCTGTTTAAATGCCTGATGTACAAAGGAGGCAGGGAGATGATTCCAGGCCTAAGCGGGTGCTTAGTGATCTAGTGGCTTCTGCTGGATAAATATCTTACTGACATAAGCAGCAACTTTGTGATGTGAATTTTGCCCTGTGCTAGACCTCTGAGAACAGTGGGGTGGGGTTTTTTGGTTGGTTGGTTTTGTTTTGTTTTACTTTAAATCTGGGGTCTGCTTTGGTTATGGCAGTAGTTGGGGGCAGTGCCTGTAAGGTTCATTAGTGCCGCTTGTAGCAAAAGCAAACAAAGTTAAAACTGAAGCCAACAGAGGAGAGCAAGGTAGGAAGTTGCCTACAAAATTATGTTTGTCTGGAAAAGGTAGAGGACTTCTCTTTGGGCAAATATTTTAATGATTAAAGTGGTGAAGTGGATGTCTTGAGTTCTATCCTCAACCTTTGGATTGATTTGTGGCATGCCTTAAAGAAGTTAGTATTTCTGTGCCTCTATTTTTGAAAACTTCCTTGAGGCCCTTGGTTAAAAGGCAGCTAGCACAGAATACTTCTTACCTTGATGATAAAGCCAGTGTACTGTGGTTTCTTCTCATTCAAGATGATGCCAATGGCACAGGGGATTAGCATTAGCACCAGAGAGGAGGTTATTCCTTTGTAAGGTACCTTGCCCTCCAAATCACCCTCGTATAGTCCTCCCGAGTAAAGGTACAGAAGCAGAGGCACTAGTCCAATTGCCAGGACCGTTGAGCATGTGGTCATTACAATGCTGAGATGGAGAAAGGACCCCTCAGTAGAAGAATGACACTTTTTAAATGGAATATACTAATTTTCTCACTAACCTGGACACATGGTTCTAATGTAAGACTTTACCTTGCTCTTTCCCAACCTGTCACTGAGATTTCCCCAACATCACTGTCGGGTTGTAGAAAGATGTGATATGAATAGAGAAGGGAGAAGATGACTCAAGTTCTATACAAGCTCAGAAAGGACCCTTGTTATGGGTACAGCTCACATTTCAGAAATTCACAAGTGACAGGGAAAGCAATACTTCGTACTTTCACCCTGGGACTTGTTTTATCACTAGGGTTTGTTGGAGAGTGGCGTTCTGCTAGTTCAACATTTCTCACTGATGCAGCCTCTTCAGACAGTGTGCTAAGTTTACACAGAACTATATGCCACTATATGGATAGATACTGCACATACATGCTATATATACTGCTATATGGAGATGAAAAAGTGTTCCTGCACCCATCTCATCACGAGCAGCATGCAATATGCTTCAGAAAAGGGTACAAAATCCCATTTTATTGTAAAATGGGGACAAATTTGGTCATTGAGCAATATGGGTGTTTTAAAAATGTTCTAGACTTAGTATTTCAGTCTTTGTCCAGCTTCTTGGGGATTGCTAATGTTGATTAAACTAGCTTCTGAACCAGTCGTATGACTAGATTGGCCTGGGCAATGAACACATACTCAGCTTTCCTTACCTGAGGTTCATGTCCCCTTTCAGTGCCAGACTAAAGATGTTGGAGACGTTTCCCCCTGGGCAGCAGCCGCAGATAAGGATGGCCAGGGATTCTGTAGTGCCCAGCTGGAAGAGCTTGCCCAATATGAATGCCGTCAAGGGCATGATGCCATACTGAGCCATTATGGCAATTGCCATGCCTTTGGGTTTCCTGAGGTGAGTTGTGATCTTGGCTATCTCCATCGTACACCCCAGAGACACCATGGTGACGAAGAGGACCACAATAAGGATCGCATTCAGGGCTTTGTCCGTGGCCCATTGGCCAAATGCAAATGGTGGTGCCACGCTGGTCAAGGAGGTGCCCCGTGTGCCACCTGGGCTCCAGAGCTCTGGGTTCTCAAAAGCTCCCTTGGTCTTGTTCATCCTGCTGAAGGGTTTAGAGGTCCCTTCTTCTATAAGTGTCTGGGAAGGTGAGGAAGGGATTGATTCGGAAATCCAAATACCATCCAATTAATGCAAGCAAAACATGAGCTCTCTTTCAGGCCACCACTCTTAGCATTCAGCAGCTGTTGAAACAGAAATCCATGTTTTGAGCAATCAGCTGTGAACCCCATTCCCTTCAGTAATATGTTGTGCAGTTTGTGTAGCTTCTGCTCTGGTCCCCCACCTCTTCTGGCGTCCGCTCTCACCGTGAGAACGAGGACATAGCTGGTGAGAGCGAGAGGGAGACTTGTTGAAAACTGGTAAAGATGGGCACTTCATAAAAAAGGAAAATGAACCAGAAGAAGTCTCGTCCACAAGATACTGCTTAGGCCAGCGCTTAAAAACATGATGCATCCAGGGTACTTTATTTTTAACAAGGGTTATAGAATGCTTATGCTGCTGGCCATAAATCAATCTCTCGATAGAAAGGCTAGGAAGAAACTTCCTCCATGGACGAGTAATTTCTCTAGTAAACTCTTAGGGACCTTCATGCCTCTTTTCCTGATGTGGTCAGTCTGACCGTCTAGAAATTTTTTGACTGCATATGGGAATGAATTCTCCAAGCCTTACCAACACCCAAAATATTCTCTCCTTAACACTGAGGGGAGGTCCTGCATGGCGAGAGCCTCAACCGACCTCTGCAGTGCAAAGCTGTGCTCGCTGCGGCACAGCAGTGTTGCTTTCAGGACCTGAGCTGCTCTGCACCGTGATCCAGCCGGGGGTGCAGGCATTGCCCAAGCTCTCCAAGCAAAGCCAAATAGGCAGCTTTTACCCACCCCAGACTGGTACCTGCCTTGTGCTTTCAGTACGAGGCTGCACGGCATGGCGTGCTCTCAGTGCTCTGGTGTGCAGGGAAATGGGAGCTGGGCAGCCGGTTCTCGGGCAGGAAAAGGGACCAGAGAGGTGGCCGATGAAGATTGTTCCTCCAGCTGCTGCAGAGGTGACCTCCTGCTCATCCCCCTGCTGCTTTGGTCCCTGTCCCTGGCTCTCCAGGGGACGTGCGTCCCTGTGTCTGCCATGCTGGGGAATGGCACGTTGCCTGCCTCGTCCCCAGGTGCTGCGCTCCCTGATCCCTCTGCAGGTTTTGCCTTCATTTAAGGCATTTATTGCCTTCAAATTGACCTGACCCAACCCCTAGGTCTGGTGTGGGACTCTAGGAACATACAGAGCTGAACACATTAAATTAGAGCGAAGTGAATGCCGTTACCTTACACACCTGTAGGTGCGGCTGTAGGAGGCTTCAGTAAGATTACCCGCTGCTCCATCCCTTCCTGGCCAAGCTCGGTGAGTGATTGCACTCTTCAGTCTTTCTTCTTCAAGAAAATCTTTCCTCCTTGGCAAAATCTCATCCTCTGCTTGCAGAATATAAAGCCCGGGTCTAAAAGAGCCTTGTAGATAGGGAAGTTGTTATACGATAGTTGTGTTACAGGACTGAGGAAGGGATTTTAACCAGGGAGGTTTGCTGCAATATGGCTGGGCTCCAATTCCTTTGCTGAAGGGCATTATAATGCTGCAGTAATTTGTCCATTGCTCCCATTCATCTGGGAGCTCAGCAGGCTCGGCCTCTCCAGCCCCATTGCTCTGGAAACGCCGCTGGTGGCAGGCAGGAATGTCAGACCCGTTCTCCCTGTTCCTTCCCACTTGCTCTAGCTTTGGTTGGGAACTTTGTTTCCCAGGCTGGCAGCCAGGCTGGAAAAGCACCGACAACGGCTCTGGAGCCCGGCACGGGCATCCCCCACCGGGCAGGGAGGAGCGGTGCCCGCGGCAGTGCAGGATAGGGCCATGCCAGCAGTTCCCGGTGGCTCCACACATCCACGGCCATGGCTTCTCCCGCGCCCTTGCCGTGCTTGGGGACCAGGGCCCTTCCCGTAAATCATCGCAGGCGGTGCTTTGGGACCTCCGTGTCACTGCCACTGCCCAGCCTCATCGCTGGGGCCCTCGCCAAGCAAGCGGGAGGAGGTGGCCTGCAGTACTGCATGCATTTCGTTTTTCCTTGGGCATCTGCAAGATTTCTGGGCACAAATAAGGGCTGCCCAAGTAGCATGTGGGCAAAATCCATAGGAATTAGGAGAAAATGCAGGAGCAAAGCCCGCAGCAATTCCTTCTCTCTTTCTATCCCTCCCTCCAGGTTTTTTTCCTGCAGATCTCTAGCCTTCCTAAGGAAATGCTTGTTTTCACTGTGTTTGCCTTTTAGCTGTACACAGAATTTTGTCAGAAGATGTGAGAAGGGTCAAGTCAAACAATTAAGTGGTTACACAGCGTCACTGCCTCGGCAGCGCCCAGACCCCCCTGCAAGCTCAGTGCAGCTCAGGGTTTTAAAACGATGATGTTGTAACGCTCTTACCCTTTGTCTTTGCAGGGCTGTAGAAGAATGTTTCAACTACCCGAATAATTAAAAAAATGCCTGCTAGTTGTTTGCTCTTCAAGCGTTCCTGCTGGTTCCCGGTAGTTAATGCAGGAAATGCCACGGGAGTCAAGGGAGAGACTGGTGGAGAGAAGCAGAATAAATTAGGATCATTATTTCGCCCTGATTCATGCTGGGACATCCAGTTGTTTTACACGGGGACTGGAGCTGGGGGTTTGCATTCAGACGTGGCCAAAGAGCTGCATCCCAGCTCTAAAGCCGCTGCTCCCTGCAGTGGGACGCGGGAGGTGGGACAGCCGAGGAGCACGGCTGGAGGAAGGAGCAGGGTCCCATGGCTGGAAGAAGGAGCAGGCTCCTCTGCTGGGAGGCAGGGGGGCCCAGGTGGTGCGTGGGCATGCTGCTGGTAGCTCACGATGGGCCACTGATGGCCGGGTCATCTACATCGGCTCAGAGGAAGCTTCAGCGTGCCTTTTCCTTCCTTTGACCGCTTCCTGGGCTCGGTTCCGAAAAGGGAAATTTCTAGATGTTCTTTACATGGTCTCCTTTTTTTTTCCCCTCACAGCTCAAGTATGCTCAAGCAGCTCGCCCCCCCCCAAGGCGTTTGTTTGCCTCTGCCTGTGCCCTTGCCCTGCGTGAAGCCGAGGAGCTTCGTGGAAGGTCCTGCACAGCTCATGCCACTTGAGGGCAGTGGTTGCACGCCCAGAGCCTCGTTGCTCTCTCAGGAGAAAAGACCTCATAAAACAACAAAGTCTCACCATAGGTGCCATCGCTTAGATCGTTTTTATTAAGTCAGATGCTCCCAAATTCAGAGAGACGGTCTAATACAACAGGCATTACAGGATGCTTAACAAGCCTGAGGCATTAAAGGAGATATTTGAAAAAAAGATTGTATACAAGTTTGCAGGCTTCCTGTTGGAGCTCAAAATGAGCTGTGTTGTAGACTTCTGTTTTTTTAAAAGACACCAAAGGAGTCAGTGCTTCATGCTTTTATAATGCAGCTTCATAAATTCACCTGATAAATATGAAACAACTCACGTGGCCCTTTCAGTGCTGGGGGAGCTGAAGTCCAGTTTTCCAGTTTGCAGCTGGGACTGTCATCTCTTCTGTGTTTTTACAGAATTTAACATAACTTGAACTGAGCCCAGTGGTTGCCCAAAGGCCATGCTTCAGCAGACATGCCCGATAGGAGTGGCGGTGACTTGATTTGTGTCAGATTTCACACTGTGTTGGCCCCCAATCCAAGACATGACCTTGGCATGTGGTGGCCATGTTTTGCTCAGGTAAGGTTTTCTCACTGTACGGTTATGTGCTTGACTAATCAATTTGCTCATTTTTGTGTGATTTTGAGGCAATGTGCCCACCACAGCCCTGCCCGCATGGCGGGCACTGTGCTGGAGTGGCTGTCAGGGGGTTGAAGAGGGACGGCTTCTGCAGGGACAATCACGACTTGTACCAGCTGTGGCTCCCCCACCCCACAGTTTTGGTCCTATCCATGTTTTTTTCATTTCTGTCATCACCTGAGGATGCAGCCCACTTAAATGGGATGCCCTCCAATTAAAATCCAGGTCTGGTCTGCCCCGTCATGGGAAAAGTTGTGTGTTTGGGGTGGTGCTCAGCTCTGCTCGTGTCTGAGCCCCCGCGATAGGGTTAGAAACGAGAACAAATTGAATGGGCTTGTCTTGAGATTCAAACCACTCACCGCCTGGCGTGGAGCAGTCTGGGCACAAGCTGCCATGTACCATTGGCCAGGGCAGCTGTAGCCTGATGCCACGGTGATGGCCACACTCCCCTCTCCTCACCCCCATGCCAGGTGCCATGCCAGCTTCATGTTGGGGACGGCTACCTGGTGTGTCACTGGGAAGGGGCATACCTGGAGTGGGACAGGGTGAAGGGGGGCTGGAGAGGCTCCCCCGGCTCTGCACGGTCCTGCTGGCTCCCTGCAGCAAGGCTGAAAGCCCTGCCGTGATACCGGCAGCACGCCGCGGAGGCTTCCCGCAGCCTCCGGGATGTGCCGGAGATGGATGGCGGCGCGATCTGCAGTTCACTGCCCAGCTGTGTCTGCTGCAGCATCCTGGCGCGGATGGGGGCCCCATCTCGGCACCCCCCGGCAGGGCGGCTGGGACCTTGCACCCCTGCCTTCCCAGTGGCAGCCCTGCCCTGTCCCCCACCGCCAGGGATTTGCTGGCTCCCTGCCCCAGCGGTGCTACTCTCTTAGCAGTCCTGAGCACAGACAGGAGCCAAAGTTGTTTATATTTATTCAAATCCCATTTAGCATCCATCAGGCTTAAAAATCCCATGACTACCCTCTTACACAATTTTGTTTGATAGGAAAATAATTAATTTTGCAATTAAGCTGTGCCCAGAACAAATGATGTAAGAGCACTCCGTATGGGCTAAATTAGCGCCTGCTGAGACACAGCGCCAGCATCTGTCTGGTTTAGTGACACTTACTTTAAACAGCCGGAGGAGGGGACAGTGCACCCTCCTGCGACTTTACTGATGGCTTCTTCTCAGCCGGAGACCCGGAGAGGACTCGGCAGTGTCAGCTGGAGCATGCTTCGGTCGGTCAGCAGTG